GTAAACGACAATTGGCAATCTGCAAAGATTTACTTAAACCAAATGTCGAAACAGAAAGGGAAGTATGTAATTACGAAATCATGTACAAGTCACGCATCACGACTAACAATATTGCGAGAAACAAATACGTATGCCTGCCACTAAGACAGCAGCAAATCCTATTAATGAAGGTTTCAGTGTCTTTTGTCTGCGTCGGTGAGTGAGTGAGTATGTGTGCATGTTTGAGTGACAGTGATTGATGAATGTCAAATGAAAGTAAGAGTGACCTCCTATAGCAGTAGCGTTGCCAACACGCTGAATAAAGTTCATATTAACAATAATGCGACTAATTATTTACAGACGTAATTCAAAATTATTTCAAGTACCACATTGAATTTAACATTTAATGATATGCGACAAAATGACGCATTAATGAATGGTGACGTGAAAATTATTCGCAAGCCTCTTCGCGAGCAAATCTTCTCGGGAATTTTCCTGAGGAAGCAGGTGTTTTTAGCGACCATGCAGACTTCACTTGACGGGGGGGGGGGGGCGTCCCCGAAAATTGCCGTATTTTATGAAGCTTAAACGAGCTGAGAAAATCTATAAATTACCCACTCTATCTGCGGATCTATGATGGGCGCTCATGAAATGCCCTACGGGGATTTATCATGAATCACAAAACCAATGGGATCCACCCAACATGATGGCGACATATAAAAGTGTGAGCGGGTTGTGATTAATTGAGTGGATCCTAAATCAGACTTAAATCCTAGTCCTAAATTAATGGACATAATTACGGTCACCCTGGCTCAAAGTTTGCCGAACGTATGATTTGCTTCAGTTACTTTAACCCATTGCCGCCGGGGATGGCATGTACGTACATGCCATGCCCACTGTGAGTCGACTTGTTCGATTGTTTTTACACATAGATGGCTACACTTGTACTAAGTATCCAATGAGCCAATTACGAGTACTGCCTGTCTCGCCCGTTCACCCTTTTCATCGATTTACGAAAATATTTAACGTCATCCTAATTTGTTGTTAAAAATAACACCATCTATATTTATAGCACTAGTAAAAAAATGTTTCTTCCCGCCAACTCAAGGAAAGGTGAAATCAGGACTAGCAGAGCCATCTATGGACAGAGATATTTCACAAAAATATAAAAAATGAGCACTGCATTTCCCCCATTTTTTGTTCATTTTCCCCGGCGGCAATGGGTTAACTTACTATCATCTGCCGGAGACGCCGAGCACATTACGCATAAAAATGCAACCTCAAGTATTCAGACACTCTGACACTATGTATGAGGATATCTCTTGACGTTACATTCAATTATACGTGTCGCGGTACAAGTTCCGTTCTAGCGCCGATAGAACTTGTCACCATAAACATGTAACAGTTGCTATGCATTAACCCTATATTGTGACAACTAGTTCAAACAGTTATTGAAAACAATAAAAATGGAATGGCAAGCTGTTTTCTCAGCCATATTACTGTGACAATCACTCAAGGCCAAGTCAGGTCAGAGCTACCAGCTGTCTAGGCAGGCTGACTTAAGGACTTTCACGTGAGGTCAGATCAAAACAGGAAATGAAGAGAGAAGAATTTAATGAGTGAATATTCGTGAAAGAATAAAATTCACGAACGCGCTAAATTCAATACAACTGAAACAATATAATTCAATCACGAAAAAAAATTAAATAGACACTTAATAAATGAACGATTTCATAATATTTAACTCCATACCGCGATTGACAGTAATGAGAAGTGATGTCAGAGAATGAGAAATGAGAGTGAGAGCAAGCCATTGCTGTAATTAGCACTTTAACCAAAAAAAAAAAAAAAACTAATGTGAGCTGGCTGTACCCG